TTTGCATGTTTGGAAGGAGAGAGGGAAGTGCGTGTTAATAAGGCAGTGTGAAGGTCTGTGAACTGAGGAGAGGCATTCGAGGTGGGAACCGCACCCTGTCTCTAATTCCCTCATCTAATCTGGCTGCAGCAGGAGCCCACACAGAAAAGCTTTTTCAATCCCCTTACTGTCAGCCGTCTCCACACTGTTTTTGGGCTCTGCAAATGGCTAAAATGCGAAGCAGGGGGTGGTGTGTGTGTGCTGTGTTTTGTGTCAGGTTAGAAAGCTTTGAAGTTCAAAACGTGTTTTTAGAATAAATTTCCTCATGTTGTGAAGAACAAAGCAGCAAATTTGCTACCTGAAACAGCCCCCATATCAGTTAAATTATCAAATGCAAATGGCTTATTGGGGTAATTCAGGAAAAAACCCCAAATGACTTCTTAAGAAACAGGCTATACATTTAAAAGATTTATATTCTTCTCACTCAAGAACAGTGCATAAGCAATATGGATGTTCCCAGCTCGACTCTTGACAAGGTTTTTATCACACTCTGACGGTGTCAGAGAGATCTCCTATAGGCTGAGCAGAAGAATTTTACCTTGTTCTGCAGGATGCTTGGCTGGAGCAAAGAAACTCTTCCATAACCCAAGATTTCAGCAGGTTATTTCATATGTCAGTTCTGCCCGTGCATAGGGAGTGAAAATCACCCTCCAATGCTCCTTCCTGGAAAGTCCTCTGGAAGGCAGGGGAACTTCCCAACTTTAGAGTRCTGCCAAAACATCCTATTTCTGAAGTCTCTTCCAGAAGAAATGCTTTGTAGGACTATGCATTTCCTTGGGACACTCATCTGGGAAAAATTAGGATAATTTCTTTAATCAGGCRTTGTGGTTGGAGTAGGGAGAATCGGGGAGCCACATGACCTCTCTCTCTCTCATGCCTGTCCTTTGCGGCTGTGTAGGACAGGGGGAATCCATCCTATACTAACACACTGTTGCAGGCTTAGGCAGCCCAATGAACCATTCTGTTTGCCCTCAGGCTCCTTCAGCTTACTTGAAATCAAGCAACASAGCCACTTTCCTGCATGGAAGCTGCTCAGCAGGAGAAACAGGGAAGAGTTAGCAGCTGCTTTGAGCTCTCCCCTTTTGCATCCAAGCTGCATGCTGGCCCTGAGGTGCAGGGAGGGGGAAAGGATGATGGGAGGCAGCTGGGGAATGTGATGCCCTCTATATCCTTCCTGTAGTGACAAGCCTTATTCAAACACTTCAGYTTAAAAAGCTCAGAGTGCAGCTCCAGGAGAATGCTTTCAATTCATAATCAAATATGGGGCAATAACAGATGGATAAAACAAACAAATGTGGGAGAGGATGAGGTACATACTCAAACACTCTGGAGTATGTTCTGGGAAGAAGACACCCACTTTCTACATGTTATTTCTCATTCAGGGAAATCTATGGGCAAGTGAACTTTAGGACCTTCT